CGCTGACATACCTGTACCTACAACAAGGAGTTCTCCAACACCACCACCTAAGCTGCAGTTTCTACGGCAGGAATGTTCTGATCAAGTTTCATGCAAGGATGAATCCCAATAAAGTTACAGTTAAATCAAACATAGCTGCCTGGGAAGAAGTGATGGATTTCCTTTGCCTGTGGGAAAGAGGAGTAACACTGAAACAACCATGTATACCTTGCAATAATCAAAATATTTCATGGGATTAGTGTAAATAAGGTACCACAAAAGACAGGTTAGTGTAAATAAGATTACCACATAAATTCCTTTGGTGGGCAAAAAGCAGGAGCTACAACAGGCAAAAAAAAAAGAGCAAATATGTAGCTAGTGTTGCTGCCATCAAATGATGCTGAAGACAGACAACCTACCATAACCTTGTTAACTTCTGAAATCAAGAGTTTAGGAAGGAGCAACAGAGATTATGCAAGGCTATGGCTCAGCTCAATCAAGAGAATACTCATTGAGGAAGAGGCTTTAGAAAAAGACACAATACTAGCAGATATAATGCAAACTTAAATGACTTTGCTTTTAATTTTCAGTACATCTTATTCCACGTAGCTCCTAAACCTTCACCCTTTCATTCTAAAAGGGGCAACCAACCATACAAATATAGGGAGCAAAGGAATTCTGGTTTTGAGCTTATTTTAAAGAGCTTGCACTGGCAGCGCTAGGCAGAAGGGACAAAAAGAAAAAACCCAGCCAAAAGCAGACATGAATATGTACTTCAGGGAGTACCTTGGGTGCATTTAACACGTAGTGGCTGGCAGCATAACTGAATAAAGTCAATGCGTTATGAACAACAGAGTAACGCTCTGAAAAACGGTAAGCTTCACACAAGCTAATACCCGAGCATTCAAAGTAGGTACAGGGACAACATCTAACGCTCAACAAATACACTGGAGGGGAGAAAAAAGGGAAAAAAAACCCAAAAGCATTTGAAAAACAGAATGAGAAGAGACAGTAACAGGACATTAATGTTGATCTTGCAGAGAATCCACAGCAATTTTATCAGATACAATTTTTTCAAGTCCAAAAGCCCCCTGCTTGCACACTTTAGCTGGAGTTACAGATGAGGTAGAAAAGAGCATGCTTGATTAGCTCAGAGAGGCACTCATTTCCAACAGTATTACAGTAACATTCGACAACCACAAGCTTCTGCTCTTTGCAGAAACGGCTTCTTGTCAGCACAAGCAATTCTCCAGAAATTCCCCAATGTCTGGGGAAACGACCCTGTACATGTGAAGCAGGAAAGGCTTGATTCTTATTTGGCTATTTCCAATCAAATCACTCCTCCTCACCTAAATGTAAAATACCTTTCTCGATCACTCCAAAGAGACATGGGAAAGGTTAGGTTGCCCTACGTAAGGCAGACAGAAACATACCAAGTAATCATCTTTTCTGTCTCTCCAGGATCGACATGAGTAGTATCCAAGAGGATCCAACCGCCTGTAATCTTTTTTGCAGTGATGTTACTGTACAGTAAAATCTACACAAAAGCTTCTACTTGAGCAGAGCACTCAGGAGTTCTCCTTCTCCCATATGCTCACTGCATTTTATTTTTAAAAAAAACACAAAACAAAAAACCCCTCACAATTCTGTAACACTGTTTTGTGAAGGAACAGTGCTTGGTTTTGCCTTAGGAAGAATGAACACCTTTGCCCCCTCCCTATTAACTCACCACATCAAAGATGCAAGTCAGCAAATGCTTCTATCTGCTACCCAAACCTTAAAAAGCTCACGCTGAACCTCTCCTCAGCTCTATGGCAGCTCAGTCTGCTCTGCCTGGGCCAGGATGCTCCCAAATCTGCAGGCAACCTGCCACTTTCATGGTGGTTGTAACGTTTCTTTTTAGCCTCACAACCTGTTAAATAAATGAGACAAAAACTAGTTGACAAATCCCAAAGATGTACTGTGGCTACCCTAAACCTACCCAGCTGTTAATTCTTTTCTTGCCAATACCTTGGGAAATGAGAGACATAAAGGCACCCAGATAAAGTCCCTGAGAGCCAAATCATGATTCACAGTGCTTTGCGATCTCAATCGGACAGCAAGAAACATCTCCAGGTTGTCAGGTGTCATACACCTGACACAAACGTTCATCTTCCCCTACTACTAAGGTTAGGGAAACATTATGGTCTGCCAAATCACACGTAAACAATGAAGAAATATAAAAATTATTTTCTGTGGCAGGGGAAGGACAGTAGACACTAGAGTTGTGCACCCCCTGCCTACCTGGGCAACGCATTTCGTTATTTCAAAGGCATCTGCGTAACACCAAAAATCTGTGTCGCAAGACATAGCTATGGACCTCTCTACCCTGGAAATGACTAGAAGCTTTTGTTCCAAATTCTCTAAGACAAGGGGGTTGTTCAATGAACAAAAGCAACCCAGAGCTCCTGATGCCCAAAGAGCTACTTGTACTTATTTCCTCATCAGAGGAAAAGCAAAGCAGCTCTCACTAAGGGGTTCGCCAAACTATGAGTTAGTAGGAACACCTACTCCAGGAAAACAGCTTCCACCTCCAAGGGCTGGATTCTCTTGCAATTTCTTTACTACCTGTTACCTGATCTGCTTTCATTGCTTGATGCTGGTTTCCCAGAGCACGCTACAGTAATAATCTGCGAGGACGTCAACAGAAAGCACGAGATGCACTATTCAGCTCTTCACATCTTTCACTGATACAGCCACATACTTGCACGGCACATCACCCACTGAAAATGGGAGTGAATTCTTGAAGAAAGAGATGAGAAATAACAGGAATACAGCAACTTCCTACGACAAAGCAAGCCCTTAATAACATGGCTGTCTTCCCTGGAAACCAACCTTTAATAACCCATTTTTATATGATACAGTACAGCTAAAGATCCCACAAGAAAACCCACCATAGCTGACTCAGTACTCAAAAATGTCAGCATCCTTACCAAAGCTTTTGTGTTCAGTCTTCCATGAACTAAAAGCCCAGGTCTGACGGGAGAGACTGCGCATTACATACAGGTGTACCAATTTTTTTTTAAAAATACATATCCTCTGTACATCAGACACAGCTAGCCTTTAACAGAGATTGGACATTGTAAAAACAAAGTTACAAGTATTATGTTTAATTCTACACTTAGTTCTCTGCCAAGAATACAGAAGAAAACTGAGACAAAGGCAGATTCCACCGTCTGATTTGCAGTCTAGCAAATGACTGGAATGCATTTACAAGGATTTCTTTGGAAAAAAAAATTCTTCATTCCTGTGAGGGTCAAAGAGATGGGCCAAACCATTATGGTTATGCTCACCATTACGCTCATGTGCAAATTCACCCATCCATTTCCAACTCAAAACAGCGCTCATGTAACTCAAGCTCTTGCTCTTCTGGGCAGAGAGGGTTGGACTTGACATGAACATACCGCGCAGTTAACAGTGGATTCAGCTAACCCAATAGCACGTGTTTTACAATGCAACGTCTGTTTCTACACCCCTAGATAACAAAAACTCTAAACCTTAATCCATGAGTGAGTAAAAACACAAGTGCCATAGACCAAAGTGCTACACAGTTATAGCAACTATGACATTTTAGACCTGTTTCAAAGCAATGGCTTGTAACTGAGCCAATTTACACATACAAACAAGACTGTTGTGCCCTGAAGTTTCCTAACGTTCTTTTATTAAAAACAAAAGAGCCGAAGATTGCCCTGATGCTCTCCATTGTTATAAACCACACTCCAAAGTATTAAGTGAACTATGTATGAGCAAAGAACTCCAACTGATGCAGAGTTTAAAACTAGGTTTACAATTTCCTATTTTATTGGCATGGACGTATTTCTAAACTTAAAAACCCTTCTGGCAAGTTATCTCAATTTCTTATGACAAAATTTCTCACAACACACAAATATTTACAACATATACATATTTTTTTCAGTCTTTTACAACTGGTTCTTAAAAGACAAACAATTTATAGGTTACCACAGAACAAAAGCTGTGACTTAGTTGTTTTTAATTTCATAAAACTATCATAAGTTAAAGTGAATAGATTTTCTTTAAATTCCTTGTAGCATTTTACAAGTGCAACAGAAAAATATGAAGAACCAATTTAGGATAGCTGCAGTTCATTGGATAAATGTTGCCCGTTGTAATCACATTATTTCACAGCAAATTCTTGAAAAAATAAGCACCAATCATTCTTGCAAAGAACAATTTTATCTAAAAGTATTGAAAAGTGTTAAATACAAGGTGTTTAATTTACATAACAAGCAATAAATACACCATATCCAAACTTTTATTCTGCATACTGCTACCCTTGTACATATAATGTACTAAAAAGTCAGAAAATTCTCAACACCTTTTCATTTTATTTTCCTCCTCATTTTTTAAAGAAATCAATTTGACTTCCAACCAATGGTTTGCTACTATAACAAAGGCCACAAACAGTACGTCTGGGACAGCATACAGTGTTAAAACTGACAAACTCCAAGGGGGGGAAAAAAAAACATCTAGCAAAGAAATTGAAAAGCTGTAGATCATTGCTGGTGATATTAACATATACTAGAAAAACCTTAATATGCTGCTACTATGATTTTTTTTTTTAAATTGTTTAGTCAAATATCGTAAGAGCAAACTAATGCTCTTACTGATCAAAAATAATTATGTAGCCGCACTGTATTCTCATTGTCCTGCATGGAAAAATTTGATGCAATTTCGTAACTTTGCTTGAGCCTTTATTTTACAACAGAGCATTACCTCTAACTCAGAATTGCACATAAGAAGGCTATTAAAAAGTACAATAAAAATCTGCACAAATCAGACTTAAGAAGAGTCAGTATGCTGTACACTTTCTACAATATTACGTTGATAGGTGAATAAACAATAAAGAAGTGCTGCCACTAAGTTCTTCAGAAAGTTCTTCAGTTGAGGAATAATCAAATGGAATTTTTGTTGTGTTTTTTTGTTGTGGTTTTGTTGTTGTTTTTTTTAATTTTTTAATTTTTTTTTTTAAAAATGACATCCAGGTCAGCTTAAGACCTATAAGCTTATGCATTGAGCCTCAAAGACTGATCTTCTCTCCTCCTGGAAGAAATATCAATATCTATTGAATCCTTGCCAACAATAAGCCTTAATCTCTTCGCTGGAGGAAGAGGAATAAAGTCATCAAATTCATCATCATAGTCATCTTCCTCTTCATCATCCTCTTCTGATGAAGATTCATCTGCTGTTTCCTCTTCATAATGACCATAATCATCTACTTCCATCCTCGACTCCAAAAGGGAGAGAGTTTCACTACAACATACACCATTTTCGTGAAGGTCCTCAGGGTACGTCCCTCTGTTTTCTTCCTCTCGTTTTAGCTGTATTTTTAATTTTGTTGAACTATTGCCTGATCCTGAGTTAAACCCATTATTTAGCTTTGCTACATATAAATTATTGTCTTTTTCATGGTCTTTACTTAATTTGATGCTTATTTTTGAAGAATTCATTCCATCACTTTCTTGGTCATTTGCCTTGCTACTGCTATCGTGGCGTCTACGAAGAGTCAATTTAGGGATCCCAGAGCTATTTTCAAGGATAAGTTGTGCATCATACCTCGTGATTCGTCTTTTCTTTTTACTTTTTGCAGTTCTAAAGCTGTCTTTTGCTTTAAAATTGTCAGATGTTACAACAGAGCAGCCACCAGCTCCAGGGATACAGTCTTTATAGCCAACTGGTGGGTCCACCACATTATTTCTCTCTCCGAGTTCCGAATGAGAACTAATCAAATCTGGTACTTCATCTTTCACAGGTGTATTGTGCATAGTATCAGTTTCCTCTGTTTTTGCAGATGGTTTCACAAGTTTTCCTTGTCGAGATTTCTTTTTTGACATGCCTGCATCATTCTTCTGGCACCTCATCTCCCCTTTTTGTGATGGTCCATGAGCCACGTCGTTTTCATTTATCCCATGAGACTGCTGCTCTAAAGTGTCCGATTGCGTTCCGGTCAAATTATTCTTATAGCTATCCAACGTATTTGGTTCAAGCTTTATGTCAGAGGTCTCCTTCAAATTCATCCTTGTTCTCATTGACCTCCTTGTTATGTATGTGCAGGGTGGTATATCACCATGCTCATAAGCACCTTTCACAGAATTCAGTTTATTTTCTCTTGCTGCATGCCTTGTTAAGCATCCACTAGAGACTGCAACTTTGACTGGTCCCTCCAATTCTTTATCCTTTTTAATGGGCAAGTTTTTATACAAAACTACTTTAGGCTCTTTGAGAACTAAATTTCCCATTTCCAGCTTTCTAGAAGTATTCTTTTGCTCTGGCCTTTTGCACTGATTTCTCAACTTTATCTTTGAAAGTAAAGGCTTTGCAGGCTTTTTCAGTCTCTTTGGTACCCTGGAATTATTTATATGAGTTAGTTTAGATGAGGTAGAATTTGATGATGCTGGAATTCTTGATATAGACTGTCTTGTTAATGTTCTATTTTTGCTGTTCTTTTTTACGCCAATTGAAGATTTTCTGTTAGCTGCAAAAGAAACAAGGGGTTTTGTTATAACACTGCTTTATCCTGAATTTCCCACTCCCAAATGCTGTAATTATTTAATTTGTTTTAAACACTTCATCAAAATCTGCGAAACAGGCTTGATAGTATGCAGTAAGGAGCAAGACTGCTTAACCTGCAACTCGCACATGAAAGGAACTGTCAAAACAAGCCAAAAGTATACCTAAATTCCAGGTACACTTCCCTCACTGCCCCCAATATACCAAGTTTGGTTTTTACCAAATTTCTTATTCTATTGATTTTTTAAAAAAATCCATCCCACATTATCCACAGTTTTAACCAAGTATTATTCCAGCAAAATCTGAGGATCAGCATGCTCTAATATTATCCCCAGAGTTTTTTTCCTATGGGGGGTAGAAAGAAAAAAAAAACCCAAAACCTTAACTACTGTAATGGTTTCAGTTTCACATATCTAGTTGTCTGTCATCTACTGTGGTAAGCAAAGGAATTTTCTTTGCTCAAGCAAAATTGCAATGCTAAAGCTTTGTAAAATAAAGATCATGAGAGGGTTTTGGGAAGCGCGGTGGTTTGGGTTTTTTTCCTTCCATTTTTTAAAATATCACAGCAGCAAACAGGAGCCAGATGGAACAATAATATTTTATGTGGCTCCAAATCTGTCTGCTAGTTAAGTCAAAGTGTAAGTTATTTCTATTTTGCCTATACTGAGGGTGGCAAGAGTGGGGAAGGGGGGAAAGTAAATAAATGATACTCACTACTCTATGAAGAGAAGTCTCTCAGGAGCATCACAAACAAAAACTCCTTCCAATTTATTCTGAGATTACTAACTATGCACTTTCACTTCAGAATAGGTACCTGAACTATCATTCCTGGATGTGGAGAGGGAATAGTTGCCCAATTTGAAGGATCTCTAAAGGAAATGACTATTTCTTTAATAATCTCTACTAAGAGCATTTATTTAAAACCTGTTTTCCTACAGAATGTAGGTAACTCAAACTATGTAAGTTTTCTTTCCTACACTATACTACTACACGTGACAGTATACCATATTTTGAAATATGTACATTATTGATAGAACTTTAACTGACATGTTTAGAAGTATGACACTAACTATCTGCTTTCGATATAAATAAGAGAGATCAAAACAAGAACATACCACCTATTGTTCTTGAAACACTTCCGGAAAACTGTGAATTTGCTATTTAAATAGCCTTCAGATTGCTGAATAAATTACAGTTCTAAAAACCAGTATCTGAGATGCATCTCAACACTAAGAGAGGAATTCCATCACACAAAGTTTTTTTATGTTTTTATGAAACCTTTAATCCTGCACTCCCAAGCTTTTCCCCTTACTTACTTGCATTAGCTTTTTCCTGAGTGGTATCTGCATCAGTGTTAGAGCTGACGGACTGGCTGTCTGAATTTTTGCTGCTGTCACCCAACTTTTTAAGTCTGTTCAATCGTTTATCTGTTTCTCTCAGTCCATATTTACTATTAATCACAGGAGTAGGTGCTGGCAATCCCACTCGTGATTTAAAAGCACCAGTTCCACGTCTACAAAGAAAAAGAGGACATAATGTATTATTCTTCATTTCAGATACAATAGTTTGAATCTCAGGTATATTTGGATAAACAAGACCAATAACCACTGAATTTATTACCATTTTGTAGGCTGTTTTAGTAAGATATCTATATATTTATCTCATTTTATTAGATGTGCAGAAAAACCTTCCATTTATTTCTTGCAAAAAAACCCCTGCAAAAGTAGGTTTCCCTTGCTTTAAGTATCGTTTCATAGTTAGATTACACAGGTGAAAACGAAATACGGTAGTTCAAAATACTACTTATATTAGCTAACAACTTAAATTTTTCCTAATCATAGACTAGTAAAAAAAGCCACCTTCAGTTACAATGCTTGTTACTGCATTAGCAAGAGTTGAAAAGTACAGAAAATGGAGTAAAATTAACACACAGCTTTATCTATGTTCCTTCATAATCGAAAGACTCCAGTATGTATTTACCATGAAAATGAAACGGCTGAGAAAAAAAGAGAAAAGAAAGAGTAGGTTAAGTAAAGACAGATAAGGATGAAGATGAAGAACTCCTGTACTTGCACTTCAACCACTACTACCAGGATTCCTTCGATACTCTTTAATAATCCAGTACACTTGCACTTCACAGAATTACTGAAGACAACTTCAATTTGGATTCCAGGGTGTTGTACTGGAAGAAAATCTACAAAACTTAACCAAAAGTGCACCAAAAAGATCAGACAGGATTTTGAGCTCCACAAGGCTAATTATTATGCAGACAGAGTATCTGTTCTCAAATTAACTGGTATTTGTTTGATCTGGAACATTCTTTCAGTATTATTTTGAATTCTGCAAGTTACAGGCAACTTAAGATACTGGACTGAACTTAGCACAAGCAACAGCCGCTTCAAATCGGAAAGTAATGGTGCTATAAACAACCAGAACTGTCTTCTGACAGGTCATCTTTGGTGCCCAGTTAGCCAGTGTGAACAGCAGGCTCACCTAAAAAGAGTGTGTGCACATATGTAAAGATATGCAAATTTTCTTGGTGATGACTTTTGGAGGCTGGGGGGGGGTGTGGGTGGGAATTGTACAGTGCCAGCCTTCCCACAGCTCCCAGACATACCCCACAGATTCTTAGAAGTCTAGCATTTTAACATTACAAATTAATACCCTTTACAGCATAGTCAAAATTGGGTCACTTAAAGATGATTTTTTTTGGTGGCGTACAAAGCAACAGTTGCCTCATCAGTGTTGGTAAGGACTCATTTTTTCCCTGCTCAACTCCCCTAAATTCAAATCTCTCACATTTGATTGTGGTAACACAGCCTTGTGACTGAAAAGCAGATTCCTGAAGTCAGAATTACCCAAACGTTAGCTTTAAAATATAACACTTTCATGTACTTCAAATATGAAGTTGACAAGTTAGTGAAAATGTTTGCACACATAAAATTGGTTTATCCTGAAAGAGAAAGTATGTCAGTATTACATTAAAATCAACGTTCAAAGGAACTTGAGCAAAACAAAACACTACCACTCCAAGTAACAAGGAAAGAACAATCACAGTGCCTCTTTATTCAATACTAAACTGCTCCCAGGACCGAAGTACATTTTTACTAGCAGCTTTCTAAGGAAAGCCTGAGACTGTACCCTTCACTTGGAACGATCTACCAACACCATATGAGCTTGGAGGTCCACACCAGAAGGTTTTCCCTTGAATTGCAAGAATTGTTAGTGACCAAACTAGGTAGTAAAAATGAAGGTAGGATTATTAAACTATTTATATGCAGGTGCACTAAACTATTTCTCAATATGATTTTGTCCTTTATAGGTTGTTTTTTTCTATCTACAGTTAGGTCATACAGTAACAGAACTGTTATAGGTTCTGTGCAGTTCCTCTTGGAACTAGACGAAGCTCTCCCACATGATATTGAGCCTCCATGCTCACAGTAAGCAGAAGTTTCCATGTGGCAAAACCCAAGCATGAAATTTTTTCAACTGGTTTTGTGAAGAAACAAGATTAGGACGGCACAGGTGAAAAACAAATATAACAACTTTGCTGTTATTGTGTGATGGACAATATGTGTGCCTAGATCTGCAGGCAAGTACTGTCCAAACCAGTAGATCTTTATGAATACACAAACTCCCAAGTTCTAATAACATAAGGCAAAAACTACTTTGCCCATTCCCAGCAGAACAGAACTTCAGGTCAACACAGAAAATATTCCTGAAATCGGCTTTTTCCAGTGCAAAAAAAAGAGCAAAAGTCTCCAGTCAGTTGCTAATGGTCTTGTAAAAGTTACAACTGCTTTTCCTTCCAATTCTACTTTATTCAGTACAAATATCTTTAAGAATCTACACTTCTTTTTTGTTATTCTCATTTTGGGCTATCTCCAGAACAGAGAGTCAAAAGAAAAACAGAATGCAGGAGTTCTCAGGAAACTTGACCACTCAGTAACAACATTAAAAAAAAAAAAAAGCATTACAATAAATAGCTAGGAAGCAATTATAAATGTGTCCAAAAATTTGAGTACTCATAATCAAGGACTTTCAGTTTCACAAAAATATATCATGAATATGCCCAATTCCATCTGAAACTTATTTACATCAATGTATACCTTTCACAGGTGTAACATTCGCAGTATTCATTATTTTCTCCAAAAAATCCATCTCCGTAGTAACAAGAGATTTCTTCTCCAGGTTCAATATCTCTTAGAGCTTTCACACATGCTGTATCTCTGCCCGTTGATACAAACTGGGGAAGGAGATGACAGGGAGGGGAGAAAAAAAAGTTAATGATTAAGGTTGAACAGTATCTGAGTAAGAAAAAAAAAAAAGTAAAACAGTTGGGGAGGAAAAGGTGCAGGGACAAAGGGGGAAAAAAAAAAAGCGTGGGGTACTTTATTTATTTGCTTTTAATTTCTTGCTTACCTTACAGTTAGGTCTGCAATCTGAAAAAGGTCCAAAAGATAAAGTCAATTAACTGTTGATAAGACCTGAAACATGAATAGTTGTAGATATCTAAAGTAAGGATTCACTCTGACTTCAATAACTGTAGAATCTCAACTAAATACTGGGAGTTATGTTAGTATTGCACACAGCTATACATCAAAAAATACCTATTTTGATATAGTTTGGTTTCTGAGCTCTTCCCTATGCTATCACAAATGTTCAGTTTCCCTCCTTTTCAAGGTAACAGGATTTATCTTAAATCGTCCCTGCTTTTTCTTCAGAATACAAATGCAACAGAATCAGTTAAGCTTCTGTGCAAAAGGTTAAAGAAGGCATTAAGAAGTTCATCTAAGAAATACGTTACTGCTGACTAAGTTCACAAAGAATTCAAGGTAACCCACAATATGCTCCACTAATTTAGCTGCCAATTCCAAAGTCTCTGTGAAGGAAGAAGGCATCAACTTCCTAGAGCCTTCCGTGCATTTCACAGTTGATCAGTTCTGGTCTGGGAAAATCCCGACAGGATTTTGTCCCACGGTAACCCAGTATGCCAGATTCAGCCATTTTCTTTAAGATCCCATGCTGCTCAGCTCACGTGTAACAACACCTCTGTGCAGAATTGCTTATATCCTGTAACATACTTCCTATACTTACTACTCACCATGATTGATAAATGCAGCAGGACCAAGCCACAGTTGTGCACAGTTTTTCCGTGTGGAATACATGACACTGAAGTCATTCTCCCCATGTCTCAGCAGCATGTTTTCTTCCATTTCTGATAGTTCAGCAATACAGCCCACAAGTAATTCTATCTTATCATTTCGTTTCCTTTAGCGTTAAAAGAGAAGCAGAAATAAGAATACGTATGCCAAAATTACTTCGTAATTTCACAAAAAGAAAAGTTGTCAATAACAGAAGTGTGTTGTAAACTGTTTCTCAACCCCTATAAACCTCATGTTTTATTTCAGTTAGAGATAGGATATTAGGCTAAAAAGACTTTTTAATCAGACACAAAATTAAGGTCTTTATGCTACTATATAGAATCAATTACATCAATTCTGACAGACACTACCACCATTGTTCCTACAATTTCCTGAGACTGCAAGCAAGAAATCGCAAGAGTTGATTACTTCAGCTTTTACAGTTGTTCAAACCAAAAGCAAGATTTTTTTTTTTTTTTTTTTTTTTCATTTGTGCACACTCCCTCCCCATCAGCACTTGAGACATTTTGACTTCCTCCAGCTGCTCTTGTCTGCGTTTCCTATACTTCTTCCTTTGGCCAGGAAAACACAGCACAGTGAAGATGCTTAGAACTCCATGGCTTTTTAAAAAAAGGCCCAGTATTGACTCAAAAAAAAAAAAAAGGCCAGAATTCACACAAGATATTTTCCTCTCTCACAAGTAGTTCTTCATCATCAAGCTGGTCCTCGAAACAGACCACTGGAGTGGGGGGAACAGGGACAAGAGACTACCAACAAAACCCAACAAGACTGTGACACCTTCATGTGCAGACAAGCCAATCTGCCATCATAAATACAGCAGATCAGAGGAACTGAATACTCAGCCTAGAAAGAAGCACACAATTTCCACATTATCTTGTAATGGCACTGTTTCCACAGCTCTTTAGAGTGGCCATTCCAAATTTTGGCCAGATTACTCTGAACACAGATGAATATGGAGATACTAAATACACACAAAGGACAGAAACCAGAAGATAAGCCTTTTAAAAAGTGCAAAATTCTCTTTTTAGAGAGTGGCCAGAACTCTTTCAGTTTTGAGTCTCAATAGTTTTCCAGGTATTAGCATGGTTAAGCATCAGCCTTCCTGCCTTGCACTCTTGCAGGTCACTCAAGATTTTGAGCATGAAAAGTTAATTCATTTTCAGCACACATAAGTGCAAAGCTTTCACCCCAAAAAAATCAGCGAAGAAAAGCATTCAAACAAAAAAACCACCCCAAAAATACTGATTGTATCAGGATCGTGGAACTTCCAGCTACAGTCTTGAAGAGCTAGAAACTGGCCTCAACCTTCTGAAAGCTTACTCTCCCACACACTGGGGCCCTAGCCCCACTGTAACAGCATGCTTACTTAGTACGCTGCCAGCATAACGTCTAGCTGCTCAATCCTAGCTCACACATAATAGCCCATCATCATCTCAGATGTGCTGCTATGAATATCTACTGCCACAAAGCAAAACAAATATAAATTGGGGGGAGGAGGAGAGGGGGAATGAAGGGGAAAATTTATTTTAAAATCTTATTAACCCAGCAATCTGCTGGTGCTGCCACAGACACGCTTATAACGAAGCTCAATTATGTGTCAAAATGAGATGGGGAAATACGCTGGGGTCCCAGCTTTGTGTTTCTAGGAGAGATTTATCTTGCACAATCAAAATATGCAAGTAACACCCCTCAGTTTCACAAAGGTGAAAAACTCATTTCCCCCATAATTATTTGTTATATAACAAATTCAGCATAACGTGAGTCTTGACATGGCTATGTCGCTCACAAGAGGCCAACAACTCATGATTAGAGGAAAATAATTATCTGCCTGAAAACAAACTAAAAAAAAACTTGTTTACTGAAGACTGTATGGCTACGTCCATATATACAAAGGAATGTCTTACAGATGCATGTATTGTGTGTCAAGTACTTAGCAAGGACACCAAATTTAATTTGTAAGTAAAACCACAAAACTTTGCATTTCACTGGCTGCAGTTTTAATTCTACATCATACTTTTAAAATATCTTTTTTAGAATCTTTCAAAATAATTGACAGAAATAGAATGCAACAGTAAAACGTATTTCTTACCATTCTTTCGTTGCAACAATTTTGGCTCCATTTTGCTCAGAAGAATACCGATTACAAGGTAGTATCTCAAACCCACTGTCAGTTGCAAACATTCGTAAATAAATAAATACCTGCAATGAAAGAAAACAGTACTTTTCTGTTACAAGCGAAACAAAAGCAGTGAGGAACTTTATGCAAAAATGAGAGTCAGTGAACAGCATAAAAAAACCACAAAAAATGGATATTGCAATGGGATGAAATGCATTTCTGATTATAAATTTTAGCTATACACATTATGTTAATCTTATTTCTTCAGAATGACTTACAGGAATCCTCACATGGATAACATGACTATCCAAAGAATTTTACAAAACCAAAGATGCCTTGAATGCTACAAAATTGGCCCAACCAGTGAAAAATTAATAACTTCTTCTTAAAGTCACCACGAAGTTGCATTTGAGAATTCTTCTCAGAGCTTTTGGAACCACCGAGACCTAACAATCTACAGGATCCAATTTTATTCTTTCTAGTTCTGCAAAACATATTACTTCCGTGACAAACCTAGATACTGAATTGAGGGATTGCTGGATCAATTCTTTAGTTAAAGTGTGGTTTAAAAACACTTCAGGAAAGCAGAATTTGCTGCCTTCTTTTTTCCTACACTACTAGTTTTGGTGCAGTTTAAATTAGGCCAAATTCCTCTTGGTTGTGTCTAAAAACAATGCACTCATTCCTGAAGGAGTTCTTTTTTTCTAAAGGGAAAAAAAGATACTTTGATTTCCTTGCAACTTTGAGAGTCAACAACCTTTATGTTATATACAAAATCGATTTGGGGTGTGGGAAGTGGAGGAAGAGGAGTAAGACTCCTACATAAAGCCCCTATACCCAAAATGACTGGGGTATTTTTCAGGTAGGAAGGCTTCTCCCTTTCCCTTTCTTTGTCACACAATTTGATTTACAATAGCTCTAAGTAAACACACCCCCCCCCCCCCAAAAAAAAAAAAACCAAACAACAAAACACAACACAAAACAAACAAACAAAAAAGGAGGGGAGAAACTCTTCCAAAGAAGGAAAGGAATCCTTGAAACTCTTCTCTCCCAGAGGTAGGTCTTTGCTCTTCTGCTTATGACTTAAGCCAAGAGCAAAAGAGGTAAATGTGTTTTCCTTTCTACATGTCTATTAACTTACCATTGCCTTGTACTTAACCCAAAAAAAAGGGGTGAGGAGGAAGCTAGCTGGGTTTTAAAATACAAAGGAAGTTTCTGTTAAAATGCAATCAAACAAATAACATATAACAGAGCAGTGGATTACTTTACTACTACTACTACATTCCTAAGAAATTTTTACATTTTCTTAGCCTTTCAACCATCTGAAAAAGCACATTAATTACAAATACACCTACATGTTCCTTGAATAACCTTTCCTGCATTTTGTTCTTGTTAAGAAAATAGTGCCGGGCCCAGTCACCTGACGTCAAGGACTTGAAGGCTTTTTCTAAGTGCTCATCTTTCTTAAAACGTTCAATCACCTCTTTTAGTTCTTCTTGCCTTCCTTTAATAGGTCGAAATCTGAAATAAAGAATAAAGCTATTCCAGTCCACTGTTATTTATTCTCAATCCTTCCTCATAGTTACTCACAGCATAGAGCTCTTTCGCTAGCCGTATAAATATTTAACTCCTAGCATAAAAAAACCTGACCATTACATACTCAAATCACAGGCCCTCATTTCCTGAGATAATGGTAGGGGTAAGGTAAAGCCAAGCATACCACTTGGAATGTTAAAACCCTCCATTCTGCTGAGAAGTACAATTTATTTATAAAACAAAGATGAACCAACACAAAACACTATTTCATTGTTTTCAATGCCTATGGTTTGGAACAAAGCAGTTAAAGAACTGGTATAATAAAAGTGTTACTGTCCTTACTTTCCTAATAAATTTACTATCATTAAAAGTGCATGTGCAAAAAAATCCAACAAATAAACTGGATGCTGTAAGTTTCCCAGTTAACACTGGTATCAAGGGATCTATGCACGGTTCTAGCTTCAGTAGCTGGGTTGGAAGGGAGTGGGGTGTGATTTTAAATTTAAGCCCTCTACAACCTCACATGCTACACTAATTTTTTTAAATAGGAAGCAAACAATCAGACAGCGTAACTGAAAAGCCCGAGTAAGAAATTTCAAAACAGAAAAATGCACAATTATCTTGAAGAGTGATTTCAAATCAACGTTTGCCCAATTCAAAGCCTCATTATATTGACAAATCTTGACAAACCCACTATATGGGTTTACATAGATTGCAAACGTAACATTTGCATTCATACAAAACACAGCTCTCAATGACTACACAAGAAGTATCTATAAATAGTAGCACACAGCATAGATACTACTTCTGTGGAAGACTGAAGTTCCACAAGTTTGCGCAATCATAAGAATTTTTCCCCAAAATATTGCCTACAGGAAACAAGTAGCTGAAAATCATGGGTACATAAAATATGAAAATAAACCCCTGTACATTAGCAGAGAACTTTGCCTTCTTCCCAAAGCTTGAGATTTAAGAAAAACTATCCTTCCTATCTTCAACAGGAAAAAAAAAAGGTTACAGAAAGCACCTACGTGACTGCAAGAAGCAGGAGCTCCATTTTTGAGCTGCAAAACCATCAAGAGAAAGCAGAACTTAATTAGAGATTATGTCAAATCTCTGTGAATTGCCTTTGACTGAGCATATACCCATATATGCTCCACTTTAGGGTGGAAGTGGGGTGTGTGTACTTTTAAGTGTATGACACACCCCAGGGGACTCTTCACAAAGATAAAAATTTTCTAGGGTTATGAGAAACGGTTTTCTGCAGCTCCTTTTAAAACTCACACCTTTTGCTTACACAGCATATGACAAAAGTGTTAAAGAAGCTAACAGCTTTTGATTAAATCCATAAGACTAAGTCCTGTTACTTGTTGCTTGAAGTGTGCTACCACGCTAATTTTATTTCCTCTTACTTACCTAATGAAGTCTGTATTTGACAACAAAAGTAAACAAGGGGAAATAAATTAGTGAAGGTGGTAGACAGAAACCTCATCAACTCCCTCACTGATACCCTGTTTTTTTAAATTACTGTATCACTTGGCTTATCCTAATCTTAGAGTGCTGAATGTTGCAAGTAACTTCTTTTCATATGACCAAGTAAGATTTGCTACTTCTGTGCAACTTGTATGAAGGAAAACAAGAAACCTTAAGTGTTGCACTTCCCAATTTTATTTCACCTTGTAAAACAGAAAGAGTTTAATCACAAATAAGTAATAATGATGAGGATTCAATTTCCTTCATTAGAAGTAAAATGCTGTATTTATGCTCCTGACACAATGAAGACCTCCTGACAGCAACATCACTTCCAGCAGCAGTGCAGGTTATCAGCGTTCCATGCACTGCTTTTACACATCTTCTCTGCATTCTCCAGCTGAAAAACTTCCTTGTAATACAAGGACTAAGCAATCTTATAGATCTTTCTGAATATGGCAAAAATTATCAGCAGAAACTTGTGAGCTTTCAGAGAAGAAGATACAGTAAGTAGTTCCAAGAAGACAGCAGATAAATTTTCTTCTGGCTGGGATAACATCTAACAAGATAGCAAGAGTCCGTCAAGAAACAGATGCCTACTTAGAATTGTAGTATGTACCATGCCAAGAAGTTTCAAATCAAGTTCTTTATTAAGGAATATACTTACTCCATCTCCCCCAAAAGCTAACTGCCTAACAAGCTGCTGAGACCTCATCATGGAAGAACACTCCCTTCACACTACAGATGACAGGATCATTATTATTTCTGCTCTGTAGCAGAGCAAAGTCTCCCTCAACTCATCAGTCAGATACAAGAAGCCTACCTCCCCATTCTCCCAAAACTGGAAAGACTTCTCCCAGATTTGACAGTCAGAACCCACAGAGCTTCCGCAGACATTAAGGGAATTTAAAAATGATACAGCCTGAACTGAACCTGACTAGTTTCAGAATAGGTCTTGCTCTCAATTGCAGTTTCAATCACAAACAGTTTTCCCAACAAAGACCCAACTGTACTTACATCATGAGAAGTATAAAGCACACCAATACGCACAAACATGACAGGTCAACATTTTGTTTACATCTTTATCTGTGAACATTACAGAAGGAAAAGCCACAGGATTTACAGCTAAAATTGGTCTTCAGCTATGTCTATTCTTGCTGGGCTAAATGAATGATTTTCCTCTCCCTTATGTTTTATATATGTTGAAATGCACCATTTTTTTAGTTAAGTGAGCTGCAGGAGAAAAGATAGGTGGAAAAACCATCGCATTGAAAGTTGCATTAGCACTCGAGACAGGCAATGTATGTGCTGACAGACAAATCATACCTGTTTACCATCAAGAAGCTTAGTCTAGGCTAGCTAAAGCAAGCAGTATCCCAACTCAACCACCAGTGAAAAAGAAAAAAAAGGGCAAAAAAAAGCAAGATGGATGCTAAGCTTAAACAGTGGCTCTCAAGATCTATGGAAAAAGAACCAACACCGTACATCTTCTAGCAATTACAAGCACATCTTACAGCACCAAAGTGATGCTCACATTTCAGGTCTTTCACAACACAACCATTCTCAGAGGCTGACTAGATGTCTACCTGAGTAGCTACCTTAGGTAGCTGAGAACCTGTCCCCAGCCCTTTAAAAGTCACCCGCATACCTCCATGGATCACATTCAGCAGATGTTTCTACAGGTTCTTGTCTCAGACACTCCACACTGCTGGTGGAATTCTCTTAAATGTCTAGCAGAACTCATGTAACATCATTCCTGAGAAGCAGAATAGTTAGTGTATGCCCAAGTTTTGAAAAGATCAAAAAGAAGGCTGGAAACAGGAAGGGGGTGAAGAGATTGTAAAAACCCCCAAACATTAAAAGGTCACATGAATGTCACACTGTACGCTAGGCATTTGAAACTTGAAACAGGAACTGGGTTTTCAAAGAAAACAACTGTGCGCACTCAAAGGTTAAAAAATTAATACCAAGGACCTCCTCTAGCACCTCTACCAAAACACTGTACTGCCTTTTTTTTTTTTTTTTTAACACAGTGACAAGATAGAGATCATGAGAAAGAATAAACAGGAATCCAAATAAGCAAGAAGTTGTGCACAAATACATAGAAAGATGCTGGAAACCAACATCACAATGTACAGTGTTTCACTTCAAGGGTTCTCAAATGAAGCAGAATGCCACTTTGCACCCTAAGCCTGAGTTAGGGACTTGTTCACAGCTCAACAGCACACGTAAACTGCACTTAGAGCATATAAAGTTTATGAGCTAATCCAGAATACTACCACCCAGACTCCTCATGAAAGCTTCAGTACTTTCACAGGTATATCTCCATACATATACTTTAAAAGGTACCTTCTGATTTGAGACACTGAAGAAGCCAATATGCCAAGAAAGCCTAGAAGTCAAGTGCTCCTTAAGAATTTGAGGGTCTGCTGATAGATACTTCACCTCTCCCAGGAGTATTGTGAAATGGCAGTTTCTTCATCAGTCTTTCTCAGCACTACCTACCAAAAAGCCAATCAGTTTTGACAAGCAACCTTAAATACTGTCATTTTGGCATTACAGGGCTTCCTTATTTACACACAACACTGAAAAAAAAATTAAAAAATCTACACATCTGCTGGAAGAAGTCTACATGACTGTTTTTGAGCACCACCATGAAGAGAGCCTGAAAAGATCCCACAGCTAAACGTATATATAAAAAACTGGGCCAAAGAAATTGGCTTCAGTGTCAGTAAAATAGGAGACTAGTTCAAAGAAGAGAAATAGAGAGACAGAAAGAGCATAAGAAAACCAACGAAACAAACCAGTCAACCCAGTCTCTAAAGAGAGAGTCAATTAAAATCAGAATTGTTTATCCAGACTTCTGGTTTGCACCTACGAACAGTACCTTTACTAGATTCCATCATGGAAATGGAACAAGACGCTCTGGTGTTTGAATCTGCTCACAGGCACAAGACTCCTTGAGCCACCCTACAAAGAGCTCCAGGGATCAGGTCTCACAGAACATGGAGTCTGCTGCAAAACAGTCTGTTGTTAAAAGGAAGCTAAGAATGACAAACCCAGCTATCACAATATCTTTAAAGAAATAATAATAGCCCTTCTTCCTGACAAGCTGCAGAATAGAAACTTTTCACACTTTCTAGGAAATATTTATTCTTCCCTAATCAACAAGATCCAAAAAAGCTATGGCTACTGCTATTTCAAAATCAGCTAGAAGACGATCTTATCCCAGTTAAGGGCAAACTGAGGTGGTCTCAATAAGGAAGATGTAGGAAAATGGCTTGGGGAAGCAAAGCTCTTTCTCTCTCTCAAGTTTCTCTTACCTCGGGAATACTTAAAGAATCTTGAAACTCCAAGGTATAAAGCCAAAGGTCACTGAGATGCTTGCCTATAAAGGAAGTTAAAGGAGAGTTTCTGGTAAGTTCAGAAGCACAGTATCTTGCTCAGTCTCAGTCACTGAGAGCAGTGAGTTTGAACAAAAAGGATAAATTGACCCTGCAAGAGATCCAGTATGG